GCTTTGCAAATACTTCTCCAGTCTGCCTAATAACTCAGCAGGGCAAAAGGCAGGTGGTATGCATTGTACATACACAGTCTTTGAGCCACAAAACATTATCTGCCTAGTGAGTCAGAGGAGCTCAGGAGGGAGCGGTGGGCTCAGAAGGAGCTGTCCAAGATCACTCATCTTCTTTCTTAATATTTATGTAGTGCATTCATTTCAGTACAGCATTCCTTTTGCATAATCTACTACTTCCTGCTGATGATTCCCCAGGGTCCTGCTTATTTTGCCTCCAAGTAACCAGGTATCTGGTGCAATGAAGGGAAAACAGCCAGATGCTCACACACTTTCCAGCTTATTTTTGTCTAATTTGACACCATTTAGGTTTAAGCTTAAAATAGATCCAGGCAAGAACCAAGCTGTCCAACTGATGTGCTTTAAAGATTTCATTTATTTATTTGATGGTGGGGCGGGGGGAGAAAGAGTACAAGCAGTGGGAGTCAGAGAGGGAGAAGCAGGCTTCCCACTGAGTAGAGAGCCGGATGCAGGGCTTGATCCCTGGACCCTGAAATCATGACCTAAGCCGAAGGCCAACTCTAAATCGACTGAGCCACCCAGGCATCCCCCAACTGATATGCTTTAAAGAATGGCTCTATTAAGGAAGGAAGGAAGGAAAGAAAGAAGGAAGGAAAGAAGGGAGAAAGGAAGGAAGGAGGGGAGAGAGGGGGAGGGAGGAAGGAGGAAGGAGGGGAGAAAAAGTATTGACAAAGTTATGACCATTTAGGTCATTTCAAAGAGGATTTACTTGGTGATGTGAGGGGGATATAGCATAGGGAACAGGGCAAAATTGCAGTGAACTAGGAGTGGAGAGAGGTTGATTCTGAATCCAGTTTTGCCACTAACTGTCCAACTTTGGATAAGTGGTATAATTTTGGTTTTAGTTTCTCATCTGTAAAAAAGAACTAATAACACCTACAAAATTTATGTCTCAGAGGTTAGAATAAAAGGTTAATGAGAAAATGAGATTTGAAAATTGTCTAGTAAAACTAGAAGACAAATAGAAGAAACTGGGGGCACCTGGGTGGCTCAGTCGTTAAGCAGCTGCCTTCGCCTCAGGTCATGATCCCAGTGTTCTGGAATCTATGCCCACATCAGGCTCCCTGCTCTGCCGGAAGCCTGCTTCTCCCTCTGCCACTACCCCTGCTTATGTTCCCTCTCTTGCTGTGTCTTTCTCTGTTAAATAAATAAATAAAATCTTTTTAAAAATTAAAAAAAAATTAAATAGAAGAAACTGCTTAGTTAAAAAAACATTTATTGAATGTTGTAGGCTGAATTGTGTCCCCTACCCCCATTCATATGTTGAAGTCCTAACCCCCAATACCTCAGAATATGACTGTGTTTGGAGTTAGGGTCTTTAAAGAGGTAATTAAGTTAAGATGGGTTCATTTTACTGGGCTCTGATCCAATACGACTTATAAGTCCTTATAAGAAGAGTAAATTTGCACACAACTGTAGAGAGGAAAGATCATCTGAACACACAGGGAGAAGCCAGCCATATACAAGCCCAGGAGAGAAGCCTCACAAGAAACCAACCCAGCAAACAGCTTGATCTCAGACTTCTAGCCTTCAGAACTATGAGAAGATAAATTTCTGTTGTTTCAGCCACACAGTTGTGGTATCTGCTTATGACAGATACATGGCACCTGATATCCAGAGGGTTGTAAGTCCCACTCCCAGGACAGGGATGTGATCAGAGGACTTTTCTAGGGGGTCTTTCAGAGGATAGTGTCATTCCAGGGATGAACTCAAATCATGGTCTAGAAGGGCAATAAAAGATTAAAGGCAAAGCTCTGTACTAAGTCCAGAGTGTGAGTCGAACCTGTAAAAAAGAAAAGGAGTCCTTAAGTTAGAAACTGAGAAAGAAGGGAATCAGTGTGTACATAATTTATGTGGTGCTATTATTTATGTAAAAGATGTTAGAGAACAGTCTGTGGTGATGCCAATGTCTTTGGAGCAGGATCCTGATGCCAGTGTGTGAAACAGATGAATAGCCTTTCTCAGCAGCCCTCATCGTAGGCTGGGTTCTAGGCTTGCCAGCAAAAGACTCATCGCTCTGGAGTGTGTACAGTGGATTTCACCTTCCATTGTCATCCTTCAGTCCATACTGTACCCTCTGAACTAGTTATTCATTGAAGCCACTCTCAGTGGCAGGTGGGAAAGAGAAAAGTATCATGTCACAGATCTACAGGGTGCAGTTTCTAGAACCAAGGGAGTTTTCCCTTCATTGCACCAGATACCTGGTTACTTGGAGGCAAAATAAGCAGCACCCTGGGGAATCATCAGGAGGAAATCAAAGAGCCACCAGGACTGCATACCTTTCCAGAGGCTCTAAGGGGGAATCCATTTTCTTGGTTCTTCCAGCTTCTGGAGGCTGCCTGCCTTCCTTGGTTCATGGCTTCTTTCCACTTTCACAGCCAGCAAGAGCCAGTGGGGTCCCTTCTTATGCTTTGAATTTCTCCTACCTCTTCTTCTGTCTTTATATCTCCCTGAACTGTTCTTCTGCATTTAGGAGCTTACACGTTTGGAATGAGTCCACCCAGAATAATATTTCTAAGTCACATCTACAGACACCTTTCTGCCCTGTAAGGTAAAATATTCTCAGATTCTAGGGATTAGGTTAGGGACATGTTGGGGTGTCATTATTCTGCCTGCTGCACCATGTTAGAAAATTTGGATTTTATCATAAAAGTGATAGGAAGCTTCCAGAAATGTTTTCAGGAGGGGTATGGTACAATCAAATCTGCATTTTTAGAAGATCCTACATACAATTTATGGGAACTGGATGAGCAAGACATTGTTGTCATCCAGGAGAGATGTAATCTTAGTGTAGAACAGAGAAGCATCTGTCAGAACTGAAGCATAGATGGATTTGAGAGTCATTTACGAGACTAAACAACAGATTTTAATGGTTGATTAGCTATAGGCGATGAGTGTGAGGGTTGCAGGATAAGACAGGCAGCACCCAAGCCTCTGGTCAGGCCAACTGCATAAATGAAAGTGCTGTTTACCCAGACAGTAAGTACAGGGGAGGTACAGCTTTGAGAGGAGAGAAAAAATGATGGATTTGTTTTGAGAATATTTTGAATTCAATGGACCATAATGAAATCCAAGTGCAGATGTCCAGTTGGGAGTTTTATCCAAGAGCTTAAAATTCAGGAGAGATGTCTGGACGGCAGACTTATCTCTGAGCATCATTAGCATATGCATGGAAACCAAAGCCCTGGGAAAGTGTAGAGAGAAAAAACAAAAAAGTGGATTCAAGGACAAGGCCTGGAAAAACAGCATTCCAGAGACCTTCTAAGGAGGAGGAGCACATGGGTGAGTAGGAGAACCGAAGGAAGAGAAAGAAGAAATGGTAGTTTAGTGTCATTCAGTCCAAGGGAAGAGAGTATTTTAAACAGCAAGAATGGCCAATTACATTGACCCCTGTGAGGAAGTCAATAAGAGAAGCACTGAAAAGGACCATGTGAGCCACATGGCAGCCATCATTGGCTTTGGCCAGAGCAATGTCCCTGGGGCAAGAGGGCTGAGCAGTTGATTGGGAGTAAGGAACAAAATACAGGATTCAAAGTACTCTCCCAAGGAAGTTGGCTAAAAGGATGAGAGAATTTAAGAAGTACCTAAAGATGAAAGGGGAGATGAAACTCTTTTTTTTTCCCCTTTTTTATGAAAGAGAAACAAATATGTTGATAACAATTCTTTTACAAATTCGTTTACATTGTGAAAGGGCAGGAATGGGAGCAGCTGGAAGGAAATGTAGAGTTCACAAAGAAGGTATTTTTTGCTCATTCATTTGCTTCTTTCTGTTTAGTATCAAAAACTTGAACACAATATACAAACACATGGAAAGAAACTGGGAGGGAGAAAGAGTTTTAATGGAGACCACGTTCAGTTGGTCAAGGTCTCAGAGAACTGGGATCTAGAGCCTTTGCGGAGGCAATGGCCTTACGGAGCCAGCCCTCTAAATTAAGAGGCTGCACTCTAGAAAGGACAGGTGCCAGCTCTGGGAAGTCGGGGCAGAGCATTCATAGGATGCTTGTTCAGTGGTTTTTGCTTTTGGTTTTGTTTTGTTTTGTTTTGTTTTGTTTGTTTTCTTTCATTAAAGAAGATGTCATCCAAGGAGGTGTTGTAACCAGAAGAGATCCAAATGGTGAACCAAGAAAGAAAGTTCAAAGCTCAGAAAAGCACAGCTGAGCTTTGGATCTGGGGTGGGAGGGAAGGCTGTAAGGGCCAAAGTATAAGTGTTAAAATGCAGAATGGTGAGGGGTTAGTCCTGAAGCAGAGTGTGAAGGGTTAAGTCTTGTTTAGGATGTGAACAGAGCAGGGGTAGGAAAGCTGGGCTCCCAGGTGCTTTCCTGATCCTGCTGGCTTACAAGAAAACCAGGCAACTGGAGGCTTTTTCAGACTCTGGGGTAAGCAAAGTGAAAAAAGGTCTCTAGAAGGTAGCGGGAAATCTGAGACTAATGCACATAAACAGGCAGTACGATGAATTGCCTGGTTCCCTCATCACCATTACTATATTGTGGTTAGGTCAAACGTTAAATCACAAAGCAGTACAAAAATTCAATAAGAAGACCAATTGAAAACATAAAGCTGCTTATGATCCAATGTCAAATGAGAGATCTAGTAAAATGATAATTTCTTTGATTTTTGGAGCTCCTGGGTGGCTCAGTAGGTTAAGCATCTGCCTTCAACTTAGGTCATGATCTCAGCGTCCTGGGATCAAGTCCCACATGGGACTCCCTGCTCAGCGGGAGCCTGCTTCTCCCTCTTCCTCTGCTCATGCTCTATCTCTCACTCTCTCTCCCAAATAAACTTAAAAAAAAATCTTAGAAAAAAAAGGATAAGTCCTTTGATTTGGAAAGCAGAAAAATAGTAAATAAATCAGACTGGTTCGGGAAGACTTCTTGGACACAGACACAAGTCACGCCATGAAGTTGATGATTCTGTTCTCTTAGTTATGGCCCACAGGTAGTAGAAGACAATGAGAAGCCACTTCCCATAGACTGCAGAATGAGCTCTTGGAGCGAATGGTCAGAATGTGACCCTTGCCTCAGACTAAAAGTAAGTGTCATTCCCCACCAATTCATTCCCCACCAATGACCCCAAATGGAAACTGAGTTGCCAGTATCTCCAGGAAAAGGACTAGGAGGCAGGGAGCTCCCACCCCCACCCCCACTGAGTTCCCAACTAAGAAGGAAAGATAAATATCTATTGGATGAGGCTCAATTTGCCTAGAAATCTCACCATGGCACACAATAATAAATGTGTGCCTTGAAGAACCAGATGCTGAAGGAGAGACAGCCAACCCTAGCATGCGAGGTATTACTTTAATATTGCTGACTACTTTTAGGGCTTCCATCTTGAAACAATCAACTTAACTTGTCTAGAGGGCTACAGTGCCGTGGACACAGTTTTAGATCATTACCCTTTTTTGGCCATAGAAATTCTAATATTTCCAGCTTGTTTTGCGCAGTTCCGTTCAAGGAGCATTGAGATCTTTGGACAATACAACGGGCAGAAGTGCATAGAGGCAGTGGGAGACAGACAACAGTGTGAACCCACTGAGCCCTGTGAAGACGTGGAGGAGGACTGTGGCAATGACTTTAAATGTGGTACAGGTAATCCTCGCAGCCCCCTTACTCCCCACGGGCTTCTGTGCGCACTCGTGAACAAAAAGAACAAAGCCTGCTTTTACACGCTTATGCTTCCAAGTGCGAAAGGGGCTGGTCAAAGGGCTTTCTGTAAATGTACAAAGAATTCAAGTATGTGCCTGTTGCCTCCCCTCCATTGTTAAAGTCCATTTGCTTACATCAGGAAGAGAGAGGAAATCTGGCATGCAACACACAGTGTCTTTCTTGATTTTGATCACAGGCCGATGCATCAAGAGACGGTTTCTGTGTAACGGTGACAATGACTGTGGTGACTTTTCAGACGAGGATGATTGTGAAGGTGATCCCCGTCTCCCCTGCCGTGACAGAGTTGTGGAAGAATCCGAGCTGGGGCGGACGGCAGGCTACGGGTCTGTACTTGGCTGAAATGTTTCTAGATGAAGATGGGAGAAAGGAACTTCCATCTTTTCCTGCTGTGCTAGGGTGGTGGAGGGTCTGCATGGGGGCAGGGCAGCCCCTGGTCTGCATTCTCCTTGAAACATGCTTGAGCTTAAAAGAAGGTAAGTGCAAAGTCAGTATCTCAAGATCATTTAGACAAGGTGCCTGTCCTCAGGAAGGGGTCTGTACAATCAGGATGATAGGTGATTTTCTCCGAGTCCGGCAGGAGGTGACACACCTCAGTTAAGAACTTCAGAAAGGCCACAGCCATGTTCAAGTGACATGTTATCACTTGACATTGAATTGCCAGTGGTGGGTCTGGCCATTCAGATGTTTGAATTGTCGGTGAGGCTGTCTTCCATGGGAACTTGTTCTGGATAAACATCTGGTTATAAGTTCTCAGAAGAGTACAGCATTGTAGAGCTGACCCAAGAGGAAAGCGCAGAAGAAGCAGCTGTGATGTTGGTTGGTGATGGTGTTGAGACTCCGGTTCTCATTACAAAGTGAAGTTTCGCCCATTTTCTGTGCAAAATGTAGGGACTAGGGCCAGCTAAGCTCAGATGAGAAGTCTTGAACAGTTTAGAACTCGAGAGTTTTACAGAATAAAGACCACTAACCAGAGATCTGTGTTCTAGGAATTAGGAAAATGATGTAGGTCCAAGGGGCTGTTCTATTCTGTTCCATATAGTCAGAGAACATTCCAGGGATGCCCATGGCATAGTTTCCATTTCAGTTTCCAAAAGTTCTGAGCTGTTTTCAGTAATGGTACTTTGGGTAGATTTGTTGCCAAATTGTACTCAACAGAGACACATTTTTCCCCACATCCACTGGTCTATTGATGGAGATGGCACGTGGCTCTGTTTCACTGTCTGCCATGCGATGTGTCTTATCAACCTCATAAATCTCAGTGCCTGGTTCATCACAGATGGTCTATCAACACTGGAGAATAGACAAATAGGTGAATTAATCAATCAGCTCATGAATTAATGAAAATAAATGCTTCTAAAATACTGTCAACTGGCATCAGGTAAGATTGAAACCAGGTCCCTAGAAGTAAATTCAGGTTCAGGACTTAATTCCTGGGACGGGGATAAGGAGAAGAAAGAAGATGAGGGCAATGGTAAAAGCAAGGCTAATAGAGGGACTAAGGTACTGATTCTCAACCAGGGGTGATTTGCTCCCCAGAGGACATTTGATGATGTCTGGAAACTATTCTAGTGGTCATAACTGTGGGGGATGGGACAGAGGACTCAGAGGATGAGGGAGCACTGCCAATATCCAGTGGGTAGAGGCCCTGGATTGGACCAATCCTGAAAGGCACACAGTGGCCAGACCCACAGCGTCAGTAGAGCTCAGACTGAGAAACCCTATCCAGGGTAGGGGGGGCAGTTCCTAAGGTAAGGCCTCTGGATCAGGGTTGGCCATAAACGGAGATGTCTTCTCCCTCCAAGCTAGATTGAACTTGCACTTTTTGAATCTCAATAAGGAGAAAAATCCAGGGTACCAAGAGTTAGGAAATGGGTAAAACATTTCAACACCCTTTACTTACATTATAAAATCTCGTCCTAGCAGCATTCAAGTATTGCCTACTAAGTGTCTTTGGCTCCTAGCCTGAAGGTAGGAGTCTTGAATACAGTGTATGGTCTTTGTCTCCAAACACAGGAGGTTCTTTTAATAATTGTCAGTAAATGCTATGGGGGTTGTCAGACACCTTATAACCAGATCACAGCCTGCTCCAATGAGTTCTGACTCTTTCTCCTACTTTCCTCAGGGAGAGACTGTTGAGTCCATGGTTGAAGTCCATTATGACATTGTTTTTGTTGTATTTGGGATCCAAGAAGCAGTTTTCTCCTTAATCTAAACAGATGGGCTTGAAGCAGGGCTTTGCACATATTATGTATTTTCACTCAATGCAAATTTACACCTTGTGAAAGGATATAGAAATTTTAGCCCGCTCACCTGAAAAACAATCATTTGTAATCTATTAGTTTTCTTTGTTCAGAGAACAGAGAAATGGATTATATAGCATTTGCTAGAAAGTTTCATAATGAGGCATCCCAGGGAGCTGGGTAATTATATCATCTTTTGCCACGGTAAGGGCTGGTGACAGGGAATGATATAGGGTTGAGTCTTCAGGACCAAGGAAGAGAGTGGGGGCCCCCCGCCATGGGGAAGGTTGGCTGAAGTGGTAAAAAATGAAGTAGGTCCTCATCGAATAATTCCACCAGTATTCTTTATTAAATTCCTCATTACCATGAACAATTACCTGTAACCAGTCTTCCTAAAGTCTATTATTCTCCAACAGCTTTCATTGGCATAATGTTTTGAACTTTCTTTCCTACATTTTTTTTCTATAGATTTGTCATAATAATCCTGAGGTTGTCAGAGAAAGTATTATATTCACTTTACAGGGGGAAAAAAAGGGGGGGGGGAAGCCAGCAAGACCAGTTTAGTCTCTTTCAATTCTGGCAGAACTCTTTAGTTTCTAGTGGAACTAAACCCAAGTTTCTCTGACTTTTAGAAACTCTATTTTTTTCACCATGCCACCATACCTTGGCCTCTCCCCCCATGCTCGTCAGCACCCACGTCATTTCCCCCCATCACTGCAAAGCCCGTAAATCAACACTCTAACTTCAAAGCAAAACTAACCTTAAAAAATGGAACTCCTTAAGTTGATTTTCTGAATTTTTGAATTAAGAGTATAGAAGAGGGGAAATCAGTAATTAATATTTAAGAAGCATTCTCAGAATGACATGCTTTATTATATCAGTGATATTCTTCAATCCTATGAACATTCTGTATTTATTTACCAAGCATGGCTATTATTCTTCCAAGGGGCTCTGGGATATATTGAATAGAAGTAATAGGAGTAAACACCCTAGTCATAGCAACAGGCTTAGAAACTGCTTCTACGTAATCCTATCTGGAAAATGTCAACAAGTCTCACCAGCAGTCATATACAATCAGACTCTTTCACACATGAAAGTCACAAGTACCCACAGTCATTAATTTATACCTTTTTTTTCATTTGAAGGACTCCCCCTTAAATTCTTAATGCCAGCAGAATTCCCTTGTAACACAAATGTTTCCGCCTTTTGCCTTGTAGGCATTTGAGGTTCTCCAGAAGTGTTTAGGGAAATCCCCAACCCATCTTGTGCTCATTGAAAAAATAGAAATCCAAGCCAGCTGTAAATGATGTATGGTATGCAACAAATTACTTTTTTATGTGATCTAAAGCATAGAACCCCTTCTGTGGCCGGATCTCTCTTTTCTGTTCACCTGGCAAATTGGAACTGCTTATGGTTCTAGATGTTGGCATGAAAACAGGCATCTCTGGGTGCTGCTAAAATACACATGCTTTTTTTTATTTCCCGGGTGATGACATTCCAACCATAGAAGTTTTCATGTTTCTTGGCCGAATAAAAAAATTGGCTCATTCTAGACTAGACTGGCTGTCTCTGTAGTGGTGGAACCAAGTCAAAGGTTTTGAAACATTTCTTCCTTAGTCGTGCTTTAAACTGTGGAGCAGTTTCATTGCAACTTTCCAGATGGATCCGGCCAACTAGTCAATTTGCTGTTCTGTAAAACAAAATCTTCAAAGTAGGGTATGCATACTGCGAGATGCAAAGACTTTCTAAGGGGGAGACAGGTAAGTTTTAAATAATAGTTCTCTCAACTATGAGTGGCTTAACTCATCTATGGTACAAACAGTGAATCTTCAATTCCATACATAAATATTTTTCATAAACTCAGAAAGTTTAGCAACTCAGTAGGATCCAAGTTGTGAGGCCCATTCTCTCCTCTCCCTTCCCCTTTTACAATTACTTAACTATCACCTTCCAGAAGAAGAGTGCTCCCCTCACCCATCTCAGTTTTACTCTGCAGTTGAAGAACCAAAAAACATTTCCAAATATTGGTGCTCAGTTGGACGCCAGTATCTTATAAGTCAACCCATCTCCACTTCTTTTTGAAAGATATGGTAATCAATTATCAGATAATGGGTTATAAAAATAATTCTTAATGATAGACTAGTGATCTTTTTTTGGCGCAAAAACTAAGGAGACCAAAGAATCAAGTGACCTTGCCATGACAAAATGCCTTCTATGCTTTTCCACTGACGTACGTGAGTAAAGTTTATCAACATTAATATCTACAAAAATGGAAAGTAAGAATACGATTGATCATGAATCTCGTCTTTTTCTAGCAATAAGTAATATTAATCCATGAAGGCAGGAACTCATCACTTAATTAAAAAAGACATCCATTCAATTCATTGAGACACCTTTACAAAAAAAAAAGTTTGTTAACTATTTAAATTTGTTTAATATACCTATATATACTGCTAATAATTGTAAACTCAATCCAGAGGAGTTTTTAATTATTTAGACCCAATAGTCAAAGGATACTTATTATTTGTAAAATTTCAATTAATACCTTTTTGATACAAAAAAGTATTTAAAAAGTGATCCATTAAAAACTTCCAAGCTAAAATAACATTACATTAAGCTAAATTTCTGTGGTGGAAATGGACTAGAAAAATAGACTGAAGAATCAAAAGGGGGTGGGTTCATATGGGAAATCTCTATATCTTTCACTCATTTTTCTGTGAACCTAAAATTGCTCTAAAAAATAAAGTGTCTTTTAAAAAAAAGAATCAAAAGGAATACTACAAAATGTCTAGTTGCTAAAGAAATATAAACATTGCAGGGATTGGACAACCACCATCACTATGGTATTTATAGTTCATTGGATTTATTTTAAAAAGAGGCAAAATAACTATAAGATGTAAATATTTATAGCATGTTGAGAAATTATATCCTTTGCAACTGCTTAAACTTAAGATGAAAAATCTTAGATGTCACGCCAGCATTGTGCAGGCAGGCAAAATTTGTCATAATTTTTTATAGAGTAGACGAACAGAAAATCTGAAGACTACTGCCTGAAATCATGCCATACACATTTCCACCAGCAGGATTTTGCTCACACCGTTCGTTCCACCTACCCTTCCGTCCCCATTCTGCAGCACCCAAACCAAATCCTACTGCTTCTAACCTCTATTTATGACGCTGCCATGAGGTTTCTTCCTTTTGGGAACCTGTGTGGCAATTGCCTGTGCTGCTCATTGGCTCATCAAGTGTATTTGACCTTGGACTCTTTTTTGAAATTGGTGGTTATATGTCCGACTCCCCAGTTTGAATATAATTTTCATGAGATCAAAGACTGTGTATTAACTCTCTTAATATTACTCATTATTTACTACAAACACTACACTCTGTGAGGGTATCATAGTCACCCAAGAGTTCATCATCATTATAAGCAAAGATTAATGTCATTATTCCCTGTAAGTGAAGAGGTACAGGGTCTCTGTTAATAGAGATTTTTGAAGGACAAGTTCACTATAGAACAAAGAAAATGTACTGGTTTGTTGAAGAAACAAGCAGATCATTTGTTTCCAGTGTTCCTTGTCTTTGTATCAAAACCTTAGTCATACCAAAGGGGAAAAAAGTATGACTCATTTGCTGTGGTTACAGAGATGGGTGAAGAAGTGAAGCTGAAATGTTAACCTGTCATGAGGCATGAGATGTTTGAGAAAGTAAACCAAATATTAATGTCTCTTTTCTTTCTTATTCAACTAAATCTGATTTTTTGGCCCTATGTTAAATTTTAGGGTCATAGCATTTTTCATGAAAGGTTCTGGTAGAGCAAAAAGTCAGAAGTGGTTAATTTTAACTGCATTTAGCTCTGAGAAAGATATCCCTAAATTTGTTCCTTAAGTACCTTCCTTTAAAGTTGAGTTGTAACGTCATTTTCTTTACAGATTCAAAATTCATTAAGAATGTGCCATTTGGAGGCACCTGGGTGGTTCAGTCAGTTAAGCATCTGATTTCGGCTCCAGTCATGATCCCAGCTTCCTGGGTTCAAGACCCGTATCAGGCTTCCTGCTCAGTAGGGAGTCTGCTTGTCCCTCTGCCCCATTTCCCCCGCTCAAGGCCTCTCTCTCTCTCTCGAATAAATAAATAAAATCTTGAAAAAAAAAAAAAAAGATTGTGTCGTTTACGTGAAGATGTTATTTTTAACTAACCCACTGGCGGTAACATATTCTCGATTATTTTTCTTCCATTAACAATGGGTTTTGGAGCAAACCATCAACACCCTTTGACAAATTACTCTTGAAACCAACATCCAGATTTATAATCCAGTTCATTGGAGTTTGGGATGTTATCTAGAGCCATGGAAGAATTTCTGCATTTGTCTCAAACTCAGTTATAGATGTACAGAGCAAACCCTTCTTTGGCTTCCCTGGTCTGGAGCCATATATTTTGGACTAGACAGCAAATGACCACTCCTCCAATTAACACAAGTGTACTTCCCAAAGAATGAACTGCTCCTTGTTCATACATTGCTTTTAAGTCTACAAATCAAACTTAACTTTTTAAAAGCTAAATAAGATTTCTGTTTCTGAATTAAAGCTTGCCAAATAAAAATATTTTGCTGAGAGGAAAAAGTAGAACTTTTGAAAATGCCTTGTCAGGATGCTGAAATCTTTGTATTTCCCCTTGGAAAGTATCATAGAAATAATACAAGCCTGGAGGAAATGAGGTTCTTGACAAGCAATGAGACAGCTGGAGGAAAAGGCTTATGTTTAAAGAGAATGGGGAGAGAAAGAGCCCCAATGTTGATTCATAGATTAAAAATTACATGCATATGTTATACAACTCCCCTGAGATGCTCTGTTCTCAAATAATTTAAATAGGCAGTATTACGGAGTTGGCTCTTAGCTCACTAAGGGAGGTTAGCTCAGAGTTACAGCAGTGGAATTTAGACTCTAGGAGCCAGATGGTCCCTGGTTCCCCAGTTATTGCATTTCTTTCATTGTGCTCTCAACAGTGCCCTCGATGCCTGGAAGTTTATAAGGCCTTCCTAAGGTATGTTTGCTGCCAGAGACGTAAAGCAGAAGTGAGCAGACCCTTGCTTCTGTTCTTGATTATATCATGCATATATGGGGTGATGGGGACATGAGCCAAACCTCTCTCTTTCCCCCAGCTACAGAGGACTGCCTTGCATTAGCTCCTGGGATCTCTGATATTACTCTGTTCATTTTCAGGATCAACATCTTAGGGATGGACCCCCTAACCACACCTTTTGACAATGAGTACTACCATGGACTCTGTGACCGCATTCGGGATGGAAACACCCAGGTCTACTACCGCAGACCCTGGAACGTGGCTTCTCTGGCCTATGAAGTAAGTCTCCTCAGAAGCAAAAGCATTGCTCAGCTTTTAGCTGAAAAGTCACTTCCATAAATGTAATACTAAATAATGTGAAAATTTCAGTAGAATGAGAATCTGATGGGAATATACGATTGACTGAAAAGAAAATGTATAGCTTTGATCTCTTTAGGAAACTCCGGTGGTCTACAACCAACCCTCAGTAATGTGCACCTAGTGATAGTTTTTGCAAATACCCAGACTCCATGAAAAGAATCATCTAAGATTCTGATAAAACTATAAATTAAATTAATGCTGATTTAAGTACTGGGTACACTGCTCATGCTATTTAAGCTCATTTTTTTGCTAGTCTACCAAAAAAACTCATCTTGACATTGGTTTTTTCCTCAGCATTCCCCTTGGGAAAGCCTGCCTAACAAATGTAAGTGGCTGTTTTCACTCACCTCAAACCCCTCTAACTCTTGTTAAACTATTTCTTAAAATGAGGTCTACTCTACCCAGTGCCACCCCAAATGTAACCACCTTCTTGAAAGTCACCTAAAGTCTCTAGAACCATCCACAGATTGGACCCCTTCATTTAAAGGATTACTAGTTATCACCATTAGAGAGTTTTTTTGGGTCTAAGCAAGATACAAATAAAGAATAATAATTAGCTTACTCTGAACCAGGAGCTACAAAATCTTTTTTTCAATGGTCCCATTGATGATCTATAATGTTTACTTTACTCAGTTTTTGCAAAGTCTTTTATCACTGTTGTCACTCACAGCATTTTCCAAAACACGTATTCTTTTCAATAAATGTAGTTAATATTTCTTTTATTTTTAATAATGTTGTAAAACAGTCCATACACATTGCAGCCTCTGGCATTCCTACTCTTCCATGAATACTAAAGATTTTAAATTCTGTACTATTCGACCAGCATTTCTTAACATGTGTGACCACGTTATCCTTTTTTTTTTTTTTTGTACGTGTAAGTCCAGCATAGAATCATTTTCCCACAAATTTAAGGGAACATGTTGGATTATTGACTTTTTCCTCCTCATGCCAAGTTTACCTTCTTTAAGCACCTTTTTTGAGGGGAAGATGATCATCTTTCTAAAGGTTATTACAAAAGTTCTAATTTCTTAAAAAAGAATACCGCAAAGATAAGGTGACCTTTGTCATTGCTGATGGAAGAATGGTTGTTGGAGTCTTACTTTGTTTTTTAGTTCTCAGGTCTGCGTCATACAGTTTTCCTCTCTTCGTCCCTGTGATCAGCCTCTTAGCTTCTCTCTAGGGGTAGGAATGACCGTGAGTGACATGAGATGGTCAGGGCCAGGACCTTGCCTATGACTGATCTTGAAGCTCCATTTGGAGAGAAAATTCCCCATTTTCTCTTCTTTACAACCCTGGAAATAGATGGGTTTCTGTACTCAATATTTTGTATTTTACAAAGGTGATGTGTTATTTACCCTATATATTGCTTCTGTCCCACGGAAGTTGGGAGCAGCATCTCATAGCCAAGGAAAACTAATTGATGTTCACACAAAGTGGGAGAAATGAAGACTGCAGCAACTTTTTATCAGTTCAGATCAGAATAACATCTCTAAGCGAGTCTTGGCATCAAGTTGATTAAAAAAAAAAAAAAGCAGAGAGGATTATGGGCCTGGATGGTGAGTCGGTGTCAGCTAAGGAGGAGTGCTGGTAGAGTTGGCTGGAGGCTTGCTAAAGTCCCCAGATCACCTTCTTGGTGCTACAACAGCTGGTGGTCCCCTCACTCTCGTCTGTGATGGTCTTGGCAAGTAGCCAAATTTGTTTCTACCATACATAAAAGAACATGAGCTTATCCAATGGAAATCTCTATTTTTATTCATTAGAATTTCTTCCTACACCTTCTAATATCCAATGGGATAGTTTACTTCCTTTTTTTGTGTATTTTAGTATTGTAACTGAATACATTTTATACTTCCTTATAGCCTGTTATGCTAATACCCTATGCAATGTGTACACATGATGCTCAACACATTTTTGTTGGATGAATTAATTTTTAAAATCCTGTCTTTGTTACTCATAGACAGTAATTTACTGTCTTTTATGTTTTGAAAGAATTCTACCCAACTATCGGTGTATGAGGAATATTTCTTAATAATGACGTCTGCCTCTGACACATTCACACTCCCTCAGTGCCTCTTCTCTCAAATGTGGCTCTGGTTCTCTGGCTTTCCAGAACACAGTACATAAAATGGAATCCTAGCTCTGCTCCTAAGCAGCAGTGAGATCTTGGGTAAATTATTTATCCTCATTGTGCCTCCGTTCCCTCATGTGTAAAATAGAAATACTGGTGTCTATCTCGTAAAGATAAATGAGTCTAAAACAGCCGGGAAGTTACTGGCACATAGCAAACCCTCAATAAATATTTGCTATCATTCCTTTTTTAAAGAATATAATTAGTAAAAGACTTCACTACAATTTAGTGTGTAATTAGCATTCACATTACAGGTCAAGGTTTACTGGCTATCTAGTAAGTCAGAAGTAATACTGAACCACTGAAGCCTGCAATTATGGGGAAGAAAACAGGGATGGTGACATGTACAAATCAGTTACTTTTTCCTTAGCTTTATTTGGTCCTCTCCAATTTTGTTCTGGAAAGTAATAATTTGTAAATCAGATTTCAGGTTTTCATTACCATTTTCTATAAACCTGGGTCACCATTAATACATAAGATTTAAGAAATCAACGAAGAATTGTAAAAGGTACCTGGATTCTAGTTGTCCTTTCCACCCCAAATCCTGCCTGAAACTTGGTGATTTTATAGCCTGTGGGCTGCCAATGTCTTCTTGTTGCCTCTTAACTTCCTGTGTCTGTTTTACCAGAGCCACTCCGATCCTTAGCCTGTGTTCAGCAGAACTGTGCTGCCCCTGGCATCTGAACATTGGGAATCCAGCATTTAACCCTTTGCCTCACTGCAACTGGCCCATCTCTCAGCTCTCACCATCACTTATGACCACAAACAAACTCTCGGGTCCCATCAAGACCCAATTCTTTGGCATGGCTTTCCTCCCAGTCCATCTTGCTCCTCCAGTCTTCAATTCCTTCCTCTAATCAATCCCAATCCATTTTGACCACTCTTGATAATATTATCAGTGTCCTTGCCTTCTATTCCTTCTATAAACCAGAAACACTCCAACTTTAGATGAACCCTATTATTTTTCTGGCCCTCTTGTGAATGTGTACTGCTTAGAGAAAATCATAACAACAAAAGAACTGGTGGCATTTTAGCTTCACCCGGGGCCTCCACACAGTTCAGCAGGTCCACACTCTTCCCCCAAGGCTGCACTACGCCGCTCCCTGTCCCCACAGGGGTGGTTTAAAATTTCCAGCAACCCCCTCAAGTTCCTCATCTGACCATTCTGACCTTGAGCTCAATAGATGGAGTTGGCTTCAACTTAACAGAGAATACTCAAGCCTAGTCAAGAATTTTCTAGTTTTTTCTTCAAAGTTATCCTTGTGTACAAACTTACTTCTTACTCAGTCTACCCTTAACATCTTTCTCTTCTGTCTCAATAGAGACTGTCTTTCTATATTCTGGATTCCATGCCAGGTATCTTGCTAATTATCCACTTAAACCTTCTATCAGTGCTTCTCTCTCTCATCTCCCCCCTTGCTCTTAATATATAAAAATAAATACTTCAAGACTCTCACTAAAAGAAACACAAACACAAGAAGGAAACATCCATCTCCACATACTCTTCTTATCTACATTTGCTGTCTCAATTTTTGCATTTCCCATTAATTCACTAACTATATTAGTTCACTAGGGCTGCCATAACAAAGTATCACAGACTGAGTGGTTCAAACAACAGAAATTTATTTTCTCACAATTTGAGAGGCTAGAAATCTGAGATCAGGTTTCTTCTGAGGCCTCTCTCCTTGGCTTGTAGATGCCATTTTTCCTGTATCTCCACAGCCTCTTCCCTCTGCTCTGAGTTATAACCTCCTCTTTTAAAAAGGCACCAGTCGTGTTGGGTTAGAGTTCATTTTAATGACCTCATTTTAATTTAATTAACTCTTTCATGATTGTATCTCCAAATATAGTCACATTCTGAGGTACATGGGCTTCGGACTTACATACATGAATTTGGGAGGAACACAGTACAGCCCACAACACGAAATCTCTATTACCTTTTGCCAAAGTCCATCTTGAAGTTTCTTTTGAGTTCCCTTTACTTAGGACAGCCCTAAGACCTATAGGTCTCACCAGAGTTCCTACTTTGCCTTATTTCACTAGTCTCTGTCTACATATTCTGCTTGGGTTGAGTTCATTCCCTTCTGTGGCTTCAGTTTTCACCTCTAACCTGATGGTTTACGAATACTCTATTTCCAGTCCATGTGTACCTATATAGCTAATTGTATCAGGCATCACACAGTTAACATACCCAAAGCTGATATCCACTCTTATACCCAGTTCCCTGACTCTTCCTCTTGAATTTTTCACTTAAATGGATACAATGAAACAATGAAATAATATCTTCCTAATCACTAAATTCAAAATATGGGAATCATCCTAATGACTTCCTCTATAGGCACATCTCCCTCGAAGCCTACAATATCCAATCAATCTCCAAGTTCCATTATTTTGTAATGTATCCTAAATATGTCTCCTCTCCTCCATTTCCACTGCCATAGCCAGAGCTTTACGCATCTTTCATTCCTCAGCGAAACTGCTATGAGAGTCTTCTTATCAGCTTTGGACTTGTAGTTTTGCTCAGTTTCAATTCATTCCACACACATCAGTATGAAGATAAATGATTAGCCTGATCTTATCACTTTGTTGCTTAAATTTAGTGAGCGTTTCCCTGTAGCCAGCAGGATAATAGTCAATCTCTGTGGTAGGGAGAAAAAGGTCATTCCTGACCTGGTTTTTGATTACCACTCCCCCATCAGCTTTCTCTTCTGACTTCTCTGTTTTGGTTAGATGCCCCACCTGCAAATTAATGTAACAGCCTCTGTTTTCCTTTCTGTTCTAGCATTTAATT